AATGAACATTTATTCATCCACAAGATTCACATACGCAAAAATATTTTTCATGTTTTCAGTATTGTTCCATAAATTTACATACGATGAATATGAACAAAGCTAAAGGATTCTTTTCTCTATCTCGTGTGAATTTACAACAAGTAGCAACAAAAAAAAATGAAAACAAGGAAATGCGGAATGTAAATGCGGATGTATTTTGCTTTTTATTTCTTTCTATTCACTCGTTTTTCTCGTTTTTATTTTGGATGTTTTTTTAACGATGAGTTTCTGTTGACTAGATTTGTGGGGAAAATGAAGTGTTATGAGTTGTGGTTTTTCCAGATGTCTATGCTTGTTGTTTATTGTTTTGCTAGAGAATATGGAAGCTGTGACTTATAAACAAAGAAATAAAGCTTCAAAGTTCGTACACAATTTTGTTCATGTAAAATATTCAAGTTAATCAAATAAATTTTGATCCTAGCGTTGCCCTAGAAACCGGTCCTAAGGCTGAAATGCGCTTCATTTGACAAATTTTCCCAAAAAATTCAGGCAGATCCGAACCAACAAAAGCATTCCACAAAATAGAACAAAAACCATAGAAAAGAAATTGAAGATAAAAAAAGAGCAGTAAAAGATTACAGTTGAGAATTGCAAAACATTACTATTAAGCTTAATGTGTGAAATTTCACAGCATGAGCAGCATCATGTTTGAGATTAGTTGAAATGAGAGCACCAAAAAAAAATTGGAATTTTTCAATAACTTCACCGTAATGGCTTTATTCATAGAATGAAGAATTGATGGAATTTCTGTTGAATTTTGATTTAGTAGTTGCTGTAAATAAGCTTTGTTGGAGTGCTTGAAATCGTGCTGTAAATTGGACATCATCTTAAAGTCTGTTCTTGATTTTCTAATAAATTTAAAAGGAAAATCTACAAAAATATTTTTTGCTCATCGTTTTAAACCAGAACACATGGAAAAGTTACAAGCTATCGATCCAATCTCGAAACCAGACCAAATTTAATCCCAAGTGTGTGTAATTAAATTAAGTAAAAAATTTACCGAATTGGAAAAATTCTCAATTTTTTTATTGATTTTTCTCGTTCATTTTTTCAATATGATTAATTAAACTACTTGAATTCTCACGTAAAGTTCGCTGCTGTTAAATGATTATTTGTTGTCTAAATATTTGTTTGAAAGCTTGCTTAATTACTGCATACATTGCTCATGTAAATGATTGAAAGTAATAAGGATATAAAAAACGTCATCAAAATAATTGGATTGTTAAATAGTTCAAAACGTTAAAATCAGGACTTTCAACCATCAAATGTCTTCAAATCAAAAATGCCTCGCCCTCTTACCGACCATTGGTCAGTTCCTTCCATTAAAAGCTTTCATTCATCATTCAATCTTGAAAAAATAAATCAATCAATTCCCATTCAATCATCATAATTTCTCAATCAACCTTACTTGATTTACATAATTTAGTTTAATAATGTTTATATTCCCAACTTATTTTTTTTTTTCAATTTTCCTTCGTGCTTTTATTTTTCTCAGGAAATGAGAGTCAATATTTTCCCGTACAACTCAATTCATCAGAAATTTAATCATGCAATATCCAACATTTACCTAATCATTCAGCTTTGTAGTAAAAAAAAAGAGAGAGTTCCATATTGATTAGATATTTATAGCAGTCTGACTGAGTTGATAAGAGGTAAGAAAGTGCAATGAGTTGATTAATTTTACTTTTTCGTTTGCCTTCATTAAACATTAACTCGTCATCATGATATGGTCGATTAGTTGTGGATTTATTGGATTTTATTGTGATTATTTGATGGAGGTTCAGATTTATTTAGTTTGAAGAAAGGCATTGGAGGGTGTTATTGATTTTTGTATAATTATTACTTGGACATATAAGGGAGTGGGGATGTTTCAGCTGTGTTGTATGTAGCCTTGGACTATGTGGAGTGAAATTGATTTTATTTTTTGAGTTAATGGAATGTATTAAGGGATTTATGGGATCAAAATTCAATAATAGAATCTGACTTAAAGGGTCTTAGTTATTACCCTAGTCCCTTTCATTTTTATAGACACCTCGTTTTAATTTTAGTATGATTTTCATCTCTAACCTCCATTTGTCTTTAATTAAATGCAAAATCTAGCACACATCAGCCCTACAGCCCGCAAAGAAGCTCTCAGCACACACCTTTAAAGCATGCTTCTGAAATAACCTCAAAACTCATTATTCACTCCTCCATAAATCTCGTAAAAAATTCACAACACACATCGAGATCGCTTAGCGTAATTACTATGTGCTCCTATGATGCTTCAGTTGAAAAATTCTCAGATCATTCTTAAATTAACTCGCGTACGTAGGTGCCTTTGTGTGTAAATTCTTGTTTAAAAATTTGTTTTCTTTGGAGTGAATTGTTGTGCCACGTGTCAACAAAAAGAGTGAATTGATAGCTAGTAAAGATGCTTCTAGATGTCAAGTTATGCTTAGCATCAACCGAGAATTTTTTTATTTTAATTAAATGTTTTTCTTAATGAACAATTTTCAATTTTTCGTAAAATTTTAATATTATTTTCCACGAATTTAACATAAGCAGCAACAGAAAGAATGAACTGAAGCATACATTGATGATATAATTTAATCAAATGAACATGAAAATGTTGTGGCAAAAAAAATCTCTTCCTTCTTTTATTTTCCGGTAAATTAAAGGAATGAAAAAAGTTTTCGTAACTCCTGTCAGATAAGCAAGCTATAATTTCATTTTATTTTCTGTATATGCACAAATTATTGCGATGAAGATTTTACGCTGAAGTGTTGAAGATTGACGGATATTTGCCATCAGCAGGATTTTGTAGACAAAAATTGTAGTTGAAGGAAGCACAGATTTATTGTGAGTTAAATGATGAAACGCATTTTATAGAAATTGAGGATGGGTAGTTTGGATGTTTAAGGTTAGAAGTTTCTTTCTTGCTATGTCAACTTCCTAGCAGGGAATGACATTAGAATTGTCATCTATTTCCTCACAATTAGGCTAATATCCAGTCAAAACTTCAAACCCCGATCAACCCAACACCACGTTTGTTCCAATAAATCCCAATTCATCCTGACAGCTGCACTTACTGCATAAGCAATTGAATCAAATTAGATGGAAAAATTGACGCTCGTCTTTTCATTTTGCTTACTAATAAATTTATCGAAATTGATTTTAAACCAATGTGAAAATGGCTGAGATAATTGAATTTTATGTCAACTATTAAATTGCGGGTTTCAATTTCCTTTTTCTCCTCGTCGTTTCGCTTATGAAACACAAATTTCCCACTTACTTACCAATTTTTTTTTTCAATTCACATTTTATCAAAACTTTGTCAACCGCTGTCATATGCGCGTTGCATCGTTATTTAATATTCAATTTTCATCGAAAGAACGTGGAATTGGCAATTAAATGATTAATCAATTTATTGATTGAATATTGAAATGCTGCCTTTCTTCACACGCTTGTTTGATGAAGGTGGTAGATGTTCTGTTTTATGCGGAAGTTCTGATGGGAATGAATTTCTCATATTGTATTGCAAATCTGGATTTACTGTGCCCATGAAAATTAAAGTCAGTGACAGCGTTGCAATAGTTCGGCATCTTAAGTATGGGTTACCTACATTTGCCTACTGACTAATGCCCACTGACATTAGTGGCACTAATGCCCACTGATACTGCCCTCTTTATCCCCAAGGGTAAAATAACGACACCAAATTCCACCACTGGAAGTAACAATTTCCTCCACTATTTTACTTCATTCGTTCATGCTTTCTACGTTATAGCCTCCAACCTAGATTCGTAATCGAAAAGATACTTGAAAATTTATATTTAGATTTGCGATTGATTTTCCATCCCTCTTCTCACCTTCGTCTCTTCTATTTTATGAAGTAATTGCTTCACACTTATGAGCATGAGAGTGCATAGTCTGTAATTTCATAGATGAATAAAATTGTGTGCATTTGTTCAATAAAAATGATTGATTTTGAATGGAATTTAATTGATTTTTTTGTTGATGATGTTTGATGAAAGTTTGTGTAAGATTTTATGACGTTTAATTGACTTTTTGATTAGGATTCGATGGAATGGCTCTAGCGATGTAATTAAACTTCATCAGATTTGTATGGTCAAAACTCAATCGAATCTTACCTTTTGTCTAGTCTTGGGCATATTTCTTTTTTGCAAGTATAAGCAGTTTGAATCTCAAAGACGAATTTAAAACAACCGGATAAAGTTTGATATGTTGTAGACTCTGATAAGTTCCGATAGACTTCAAGCTATAAATATAGACTCACATGAAATCGATATCAAAAACATCAGTATGAAGTAATTTTAGACTTACTGCAAGTGGAAGGAGGAATGGATATATTTATATGTGTGACGTAAATTTTTACACATCGTATGATTTATTTAAAAATTAATCAATCGATTACATATGCCAGATGCATTCAGTTCGATGGACTTGCGGTGATGAAAATTATTATGGGCGATATTTTTGACTAGCATGTAATTAAATTCACAACTTTGTAGTGCTTGTAATTACCTATTGGAAATGATTTTAAATTAATAACATTTGACATGTAAAATGTCTATAGCTTGATTGTGATTGATTATAAAATATTTCACTAATTGAATTTTGAGGTTGTAAAATATGAAGCAATTTATCTGTAATCAATTTTATGATTTAATTCAATACTCATAAATTAATTAATGTACAAATGTAAAAACTTTTCCAACCAAAAAATCAAACCTAACCAGGTCAAGGTTAGTTGGATAGGATTCAATAATTTGGTTTATTAATTGGTCAGTCTTTATAAAACTCTATCAAAATGTTTGTTATTTGTATAAAAATTGATAAAATCTACAAGTCTAAAAGACAGAGTCTAAAACTATTAAGTCAAGTTGGACATTTTCTTTAATACTTTCTAAGTGTTCATTCGATGTGAGTCTACAGAACTTTGTGAACCAAAAAACTTAACTATGAAATTATTATTTTTAAATTTCATTCTGTTTTTTACAAAAATCAGAAGTTCAGACATTTCTCAAGCATTAAGTGACACAATACATGCAATGTTCGTCCAAAATCAAATTCACTTTGATATAATTGTTTATGGTGATCAGTCACGGAACATTAGCTACATCATCAACGATATTGGACTAAAAAATAATGAATCATATGCCAAACAGATTCAAAGTTTCAAAACGACAGAATGGGATCACAATCTGAAGCAGTCTGCAGTTATATTAATGTCCAACTTTCGATATGTGTTGCTATTTTTTGACCTAGCCAAATTAGACAGTGATTTCTACAAAACATTTAAATTTTTGATTTATTGTGAAGATCTTCAAGTTGGAGATTTTTATGATTTAAGATTTAAGAAGCTATATTGGCGTAAAGGACTCCCAGCTGAATATTCATACTTTTTATTTGAAAGAGAAGAATCGTTTACTTTACTAAGTCTTGAATGGTATTCAGAAAAAGCTTGCAACAAAGCTCAATTTATAACTATCAATGAGTTTAATAAAGCTGATAACAAATGGATCAAGAAACTGGAAGTTGGTAAAAAGTTCAGAAACTTTTATGGATGCTTGATTTCTATGGACGTAGGTAACTTTTTTAAACATATATATTTTGACCATAAAGGCAGACCTAAAGGACCACTAGTTGATATATTTAATGGAATGTCAGTAAGAGGGAACTTAACGCAACATATTCAACGAGTTTATACATATTTTGATAAGAATTTTAAAATAAGAATTGCGAAAATGCAAAATGCAAAATATGACATGATACCAGAATTAGTCCTAACCTTACCTGAAATCAATGTTCCGAAAGTTCAAGAGATGACGCACCTTACAACATATTTTTATGAAATAACATATTCATTTATGATTTCACCGCCTGAGCCTTATTCAGCATTTGAGAAACTTTTGCTGCCATTTGATGAAACAACTTGGATATTCTTTATTGCTGTATTTTTGTATGCATTTGTGAGCATTTTAGTGATCAATTTGGTTTCTTCAAATTTACAGGACATGTTTTATGGTGAAAATGTCAAGACTCCAATATTTAATGTCGTTGGAACATTCTTCGGAATATCCCAAACAAGTTTGCCAGACGCAAACTTTCCAAGAATCCTTTTAATGACCTTCATCTTGTACTGCTTGATTCTAAGGACAGCTTATCAAAGTTTATTATTTGAATATGTAGCAACTGACATGAGGAAGTCGTCACCAACAACTGTTGATGAATTACTCGAAGCTGATTTTACGTTATACTCTGAATATTTGCCATACGATTGGCTGGTCCAATTGATTCCTAAAGCAAACAAGTAAAACAATAATTTTGTTCCTCATCCTTTAAGTTTCTCTTTAATTATGTCTTATTTAATTCTAGTTCGATTGTCAAGTTAGGTCTTAGCGAAACAGTAAAAATGATGGTCAACAATACATATAAATTTGACGAAAGAAAATCTTTTTTTGAGACAAATAAGCTATTTCAATCTTTTTTGAAATGGTACCCAAAATCGTATGTGATCTTGAACGAAAACCTTCTTACACATCTATCAGGATATTGCTTGGAAAAAAATAATTTTCTTTATGAACTTACAGACGACGTTATACAAGATTTAGTAACTGGTGGAATCTTACAACATTCCATCAATATGTATAATTTTAGAGATTTTTTGCTGTTTAAGATCTTTCATAATTTAGATTATATTGACGAATCCAAAATTTTGACGTTAAGTGATTTTTCTTATGGATTTACTTTGTGGATATTCGCATGTTTGATTTGTATTGTAATTTTTTTACTAGAACTAACCACATTTCACATCAAAATGGATCCAGTTTATCATTTGAAGAATTTTATTGGACTTGTTGGATTTATAAGTGCTTTTAAAGCTTTAAATAAGTTTCATTTTGTTGGTTTGGGAATCAGTAAGAGTAAAAAAAGTTGTGAAAAAAGATATGATTTAGAATTTGAAGTCAGATCTATGGAGGTTCCTGAAATTGATAGAAATGAAAGATACATGACAATTATTGGAAAAATATTTTTCGATATGAATTAAGCAACTAGCTAGATTTAAGGTCATATTCTTGTCATTGTCCAGATATAAGGCCGAGAGATGTGAGGTGCATGTCATGGATCTGGAAAATTTACTCTCGATAAACTGCATGGACATGAAAAATCTGGGATTACCAGACTTGAAACATCAACTCAAAAATAATCCAGGTCATACAAAATAACTAAACCATTCCTTTAAATCTCACAGCAGCATTTTTGTGTATTTAATCTAATCAGATCCATAAATAAATTTTCAAAATGAATAAATTTTTTTGATGCTTCTTATTCATCACTGTAATCTTTAATTGTATGCAAAACACGAAAAATCTATCTGTACATATTTTCCCATGTCGGGGAACACCATACACAGACACTAATGTGTCACACGCATGTATATACAGAAACAAAAAAAAATCATGTTAGAGATATTTATTAAAATTACATTTTCCTCGAATTAACATAAAATTTTATCATCATATGACTGACTGAAATGAAGTAAAATTTCCTGTCTCAATCAGAGCTCGAAGTCAACTCTAATTCGATCTAGAATTCGAAACTAGATTCTGAGTGAATATAATTTATTTTGAGTCTACTCTGAGTTTAATCGTCTTTAATCGTTTTTCGAGTTGAACTCATGTCAACTTCGAGTCCTGGCATCACCCATCTCCATTTGTCTCTTACAAAATCCTCGTATCTTATCTTAAACATCATCATTCGGTGAGATATGAACTGCTGTCATTTTTAATAATTATGCAAAAGCGTGATGATATCAAAAAGATAATATTTTCCTTTATGTTGTAATTTTTCTTCTTAATACATGATAAGAATTAGCAGAAGAAGTTGTTACGTGCATGACTGTTGATGGGAAAAATTTTATTTTTTTTTTTTTTTGACGAAGAAAAGTTTTAAAGCGTGCTTTTGAAAGTTTGACAAATTTGAGGAAACGTGAATAATTTTTTGATATTATGAGTTTAGCTCTTTGGTGGAGTAAGTTTGAATGGAAGCTCATGAATTATGAGTGATGAGTGTGGAAAAAGGCAAAATGTTAATGTTGATTATGAAGGAGGGTTGACAGGTGGGATCGTGGAAATTTATGTCAATATAAAAATTTTTAATGAGTTTTTTTCTGTCTTTTAAATTAGTTTGAGGTTAAAATTAGTGGAAATAAAATATGTTGAAAATTATATTGAATTTAGGTTGTCTTTATTGAGGTCAATCAGTTAGACGATCGTTATTCTCTCAGGTTTATACTGGAATTTCATAAGTATGTTCTAAGACCTCTGAAACTAGCGTTTAAAGTATCTAGAGCTTTAATTATCGATATTTAAAAACATCCAGTAGCTTTAAAAAATCAAAAAATACACAAAAAACTCAAAAATTGAATCTTAAATTACACAAATCCTCAAAACAAAGCAAAAAAGTTCCATTAATCTGCATATTTAGCAAGAAAACTCAACCAAATCTTCTCATAAAAATACCACAGAAGCTCCACATTTACCTTGAATTGAAAATTAAAATTTATCATTTTTTTTATTCGTTATTTAATCTGAAAAGAATCACGCAAACATTTCCATTCTTCTTTTATCGCACAAAATCTCATTATAAATGTAATCAAAATTGTAGTCAAACTGAGTCTCTTAAATTTATTTCAAAAGAAAATCCAAATGAAAGTGAAAGTTAAAGCGGGAATCATCGCAACTCCCTCATACCAACCACGTTAATTACATTCATTTTAAATCACAGCTAAGCTAATTAATAATCGTCAACGACACAATAGGGGAGTCCTTGTGAGACTTAATTTGTCTTTTGAGCTTCTTGAAATGCTGCAAAAAAAGTGAGAAAGAACGGAAAAGTGAAAGTTTTGTGGATTCTACCTGTTAGTTTCCATAGCAATTTTCTTTCCTGATTTGCATTTTTATGGATATAAACTTTTCGTTCCGTTCGTTTTGAATTTTTTTTCCAAGTCACTTTTTTGTCATTTTTCTTCTTTTTATGATTATGAGTCTCATAACGAAAGCAACGAGTGATGATAATAATTTTTTTGCTACTTCTTTTTTTGTGCTTCTTAAAATTGAAATGAAAAAGTTTGAGTTGCTTCTTAATGTTGCTTTGGCAGTAAATAACTTTGAAGATGAGAATAAAGAATTTGAAAAAAATCAAGAATTAATTAAAAGCTTTTTAATGCATATTTTCTGGTTGCTTCAACTGGATTTGGATTCAACTAACCCTAGTTCATCTTGAAGTGCAACCTTAGCTTTGACTAGCTTAGTTAAACTAAAGGCTGTTTTTTGAATCTTTCCATTCACTTCAAAAACATTAAAAAATCTGTAATTTTTATTAAAATCAGGAATGAAAATTAAAATTAAGATCAAAAGGATGAAGATTATGATAATTTTGTAGGTACTTTTGCCGCAATCTACACTCATTAGAGTTCGAAAAGGAAGAAAAAGTTTCATCATTATAAATTCTAGACACCTAAAGATGTTCTTCAAGAAAAAAAGGGAAAACGAAGTTGAAATTAAAATAAATTTTATTGAATTAATTTCTGTTTGGAGATTTAATATTAGCAGAAATGTAAATAAATCCTTTTTAAACCCATGAAAGTGATGCAGATGCTAATGAATTCAAAAAAGTTCTAGATCAATAATTTTGAAACCATAAATTTCTAAATTTGAATAATTTTTTTTCAAAATTTGTTAGAAATTCAGAATGTAATGTTGTCATCGGCATTATCTTCATTTCCATTTTGATGCCAATTAATATAAAATACAATTTATTATTTTATGCTTTATTATAGCTTGTCCCGGAAATTTTAATGGCAACATTTTCGTTAGAAAAAGCTAGCAAATCATTATTTTCAAATAACAAAGTAGCAAAAAATGATTTTTAAATGACATAAAATTATTGCGTGATTCAGTCGTGCGTGAAAAATGAAAACTTTCATAATGCAGTCATAAAATGTTAATTTTATAATTTTTAGCCATTTTTAGTTTTGTTGGGTGCTCGATAATTTGCATGATTTATGGACTCTTCAATATGTTTGATGGTTTTGTAAAAAATATTGAATTTAATTTAATTTTTTAAAAATTAAAGCTAGAATTTTTTTTACCTCAACTTCTCATAGCTACTCAAAAATCAAAACTCAGAAAATAATTTCATTAAACTTCAAAAAAATTACAAAAATTTTCTGGTTTTGCTACACAAAAACTTATGCCTAATTAGTAATTAAAACTCGTTGCATCTCAACGTTTGTCATAATTCCTGCAGCTAAATTCCTCATTCCCAAAAGAAGAAGAGTCATAAAAATTAATTTCTTTATCTCTGCAAGAATGAGCAAGGTGAAAAAAATCTTTGAATTTATTTCCACCTTATTAATTCAATTTTAAAAATCTAAAGCACAAAAAAAAGTTACGCTTTTAAAGAACGACAAGTAGTTGAGATGAGAAGAATTTACAGGAGATGTGACGGTGGGGAAAAATAATTTTTCACGATAAACTTTGTTGACGAGATGATTTCAGCAAATAAACTGCAGTTTATTTAGAAAGTTTTACGTCTTAAAAAAATGGGATGGAAGTTTGGCGAATCGTGAGAAGGCTTATAAAGTGAGAACGCATAAGAACAGAAATAATAAGGCTCAAGTTGCCTAGCTAGTGATTAGACCAATTAAAAAAATTAAGTTTATAGACACAAAGTAAGTCTCAAATGTTATCAACCATCCCTGCCGTCAAGTTCCTGTATCAGAACCCTGTACAATCTAAAATGCAAACACAATTATTCCCATGAAGATCTTACAAGTATAAAAGCAATTTCCAACAAAAAAATGTAATCACTTTTTAACTTCTTTCCATCTTACTTTAAATTTCTCATCTTTTTTTTCGGTATGCACAGAAGCTGATTTGAGATTTTTGAGAAAATTTCATTAAACAAGTCATCTCGAGAGCGACAGAATAAGCTGAAAAATGTAAAATTTGCAGCATACAAGCAAATAAATCAGCTCAAGCATCATCTCACGTTTACTTTTTTTTCTGTACACAAGAAGTTTTTTTTCTTCGTTTGACATGAAATTACTGCTTCTTAAACGTGACGTTATTTCTCTTAAGAAAACATATTTTTTGATTCAATGATGAATTTCTTCTGAAATTATATGTGAATATTTGCAAAATTACAAGTTGAGGAAGTCAGGTTTTATGGAAAGTTCATCAATGTCATGACTCATTAATGCTGTGGTTGTAACTCCTTATTATGTGGGCTGTGGAATAGATCTAGCTCA